CTGTTCCATTAGTTCATTACTCTACTGTGTTGAAAACTTGACCAGTTTGTCTGACTCAAGAGCTTGTGTGAAGTTCGTATCTATCTGTTCTGCTACACCCTGTTACATATGACAGTTACATAGTGGTTTGTAACTTTCCATCTTAAAACTAGGAAGTGGAGCCAAACTCTCCTGCTGCTTTAGCTGGACTTAGACCTCACAGTGATTATATCATTGGAGCAGATACTGTCATGAATGAGGTAAGTATATAAAAATAAGGTGTTTATTTTTAAAAGACTAAAACCCCAATTGTACGAGGGCAGTTTGAAACATCCCTGGCTCTGTCTCTGTTCAGTGTGAATGGAAATCAAATGCAAAGAGGAAGGAGCTCTGGCATGGTGCCTCTTCTCAAATGCAATTTTGCTCTTAAATGTCTTCATKAAGTCAGATACAAACTTTTTTGTACTCTAATATTAATATTTTGAATAGCATATTTGAAATCTGGGTTATGGCATGTCTTCTGAGTTGTGCTAGGAAAACACATTTTGAAGTTGGTCTTGTAATAAAATGGGAGCACTGCAACAACTGCAACATGTGGCTGTTACCAGGTTCTGTTACACAGTCAGGACTAGAATGTTAGATCTAATGCCAAATGATAAAACAAGGACAAGAAAACCCTTACGCATTTTTATCTTTTTGCAGTCTGAAGATCTCTTTTCCCTCATTGAAACACATGAAGCAAAGCCATTAAARCTTTACGTGTACAACACAGACACAGATAATTGTCGGGAAGTGGTGATTACTCCAAATTCTGCCTGGGGTGGAGAAGGCAGGTAAGGAGACAATATGTTACAGGAGCATGGTGCAACTTTCTTATAACACCAGCCTGAAAATTGCTGGGTTTAAGTTTTCTATGAAGACAGGAAAAGAAGTGTTTCTGCTCTAATAAATTATATATTTACTTGAAATTCAGATGCATGTAGTAATGAGAGGGGTGTAAATCAATAAATTAGCCAGTGCAGATGTGCATAAAGTGCASTGGTTGCTTTCTGCATTAAACTCCAATGTAGTATATCCTATATTGTGAGTGGCCAGAACACAGCACTGCAAGTAACAACTGTGAGCTGAATTCCAAGCTGTATACCTGCTATAGCTGCTTGATTTAAATGATAATGAATTTTATTTTGTGCTGAGTATTTAGTGCTAAAGCTACAGAATTCCCTTTCAATTGTCTCATATTGATTATTTCTCCACAGAAAATGAGACAGCAGGGGGACAGGAGGGGAAGGTTGTAAGAATTTACCYTAAAACTTCTTGGTGTCTTGAGTTGTTCATGCATTGTTCATGCATTGCTGTAAAAGTGCTTCATTGACTCACAAGTCTTCATATTTTAAAAGCCTAGGATGTGGCATTGGCTATGGATATTTGCATAGGATACCTACTCGCCCATTTGAAGAGGGAAAGAAAATTTCTCTCCCAGGACAGTTGCCTAGTGCATCTCTCAGTCCCCTCAAAGATGGTTTCACAGAGGTAAGTGTGGTCCCTCCTTCGGCTTGGTAAAAATGGATGGTGACATTACACTGCTTTTCTGCTTCTRTTGGTTCACGTGGAAACAAACCCTAATGATTTAACTTTCTTTTCTCGTTCAATAAGGTTCAGCTGTCATCAGTTAATCCCTCAGCCACCCTCCCTCCTGGGTCAGCAGGCATTGAGCAGAGTCTTTCAGGACTTTCTATTAGCTCACCCTCAACTACTGTCAGTAATGTTCTCAGCACAGGTTGGTATGGCGGTAGCTGACCTGAAATGCATGGTCATTTTTTCCTGACTTTTTTTCTCATAGATGTTTCTAATTAATTTAATAGAAGGCAGAAGAGGGAATAAAATTTTCTTTTAAACTTTCCTCAGCAAAGGCTAAAGTACTGGATTTGTGCCTCACTTGCTCACAAAATAGTTGCAAACAACTTCTATTAAAAATATTGTGTGTATTACTTAGAATACTATTTTTTTGCATCAGCATTTTATAGTTAAGGCCAATAGTAATTCTCCTGTAAGCAATTATTTATTTGTATTCCTTAAGGAGAGAAGTTGCAGTGTTGTGTGCCTAAAATCAATGTTGTTTCCCTGTGTACCCCACCAGGTGTTCCAACAGTTCCGTTATTACCACCACAAGTCAGTCAGTCCCTTACCTCTGTGCCACCAGTTAACCCAGCAACCACATTACCAGGTGAGTAGGTAAAATTTTTTGCAACATTTCTGAAACAAAAATCTTACGGGAGCAAGTGATGAGAGCTGTCTTTTCCAAAGATTTGACTTCATACAACCTATGCATTTCATGTAACATCTCTCTATACAATCTCTACAATGTGAAGAATTATTTTTCTTGGGGTATGCACAYAGCTTGTCTGTACAGAGGAGTAATTTGGCAACAGTTTACAATGTTTACCTTTTAAGGCCTCTGCACAGTCGACGCATGATACAGGATTTCTCAGGAAGGTTTTGCTTCGCTATTTGCAACATTTTAGGAAACCCATTTTTAATACTCAGCTTGATCACTCTTCCTAGTATAAATACAGGGCTAACAATACAGAGTTTATGTTGCAGTTACTGTTTCTGAATTATATAGGAATTTAAACTARTATAGTACGAGTCTTTTATCAACATGGTTGTTTCCTGATAATAATGAACATATCAAACACTAGTATCACAGAAGTATTCATGGGGAGTAAAAGAAGGATTGTACAGGATTTTGCTGTGGCATTGGTCTGCAGGTATAGGATTCAATTGTGCCTTCCAAAACACTGAAGGAGTTGTATTTTATCTTTTGCTTTTTATGAGACAAGTAGATAAAGATATGTCCATTACATAATGCTTGGAGATACAGCCTCTAACATAGAAAAGATGTGTAGTAGAACTCAGTGCATGCAAACAAGGACAGAGAACTCTCACAGAAGCKGAACATGTTAGTAGTTAGAAAACTACTAGGCAGAAAAAATTGACCTTTTCTTCCCCAGCCACCAATTCACCCTTTCTCTAAAATCTGTAGTTTTCCATTCATCTTTTTCTTTGAATGGTATTATTGTTTTTTGAAAGGAAATCAGAATATTTCTTGCTATTTGCATGGACATAGTAGTGAAATTGTACTTACTAAATATACTGGAGGTTTAAAATATGAGTGAATTTGTATGAAGTTCAGTTTTTTTCAAATTTAAATAAATTTCAAACCAAAGTTGCATATAGCTAGCCTGAAAGCTCTTTGAGTCAGATTATACCAGCCTTCGTGGCTAATAAATTCATGGGTAGGTAAAGATGGCTGGGTTTTAATCAAAATCTCTATACAGTGGCCTTGCTTTATGACTTTTCCCCTCTGTCTTAATACTGTAGTATCAACAGTTTATTTCTGAATTAGCYTTTTCTAAACTAAAAACAAAGTATGAATAGAGTCATTGTCCCAGAAATGAAGCTCTTCTAAAGTGGAAAATTCAGGGGCGGAAGGATGTTCCATAGSAAACACAAGGATGGAAGGGCACATGTTGCATTCATTGTATGTTTCTCTTCTACTTTCAGTCCTTCCTGACTTTGAAAGTTACTTTGTTTAGCCTTTTGACCCACATTTTTGTGTTTAACTCTAGTTATGAACTAAGTGAAAAATACTAAGAATACACTAATCAGTATTAGGGATCAGGAAATACTGTGTATTTAATCCTATTGTTATTGTGTGCCTCTCAAATTGGGAATGGAGAACTTCTGGCATAGTGCTGTGATAAAACAACTGCCTTTGCTGAAAGCTGAACCTGGAATGCAAATCTAATTCCGAATAAGATTCTGCTTGCCTCAGRAAAGTCTGAAAGGTTTGAGATTATGTATTTGCTAGTCTAGACTTCCTGCAGTAGCTATCTGTTCTCACTGTGCAACTTGAAAGCTGAAATTCAGGTGGATTTCYATTGTTACATGTAAAAATGATAAGATATAAAGCAAGTTTAAAATTATCAACAAGAGCTAAGAAATAGTTTGAAAAAGACAATTTTAAGTTTTCAGCTCTAACTTTTTCACTCTTCTCTTAGGTCTGATGCCATTACCAGCAGGGCTTCCTAACCTGACTGATCTGTCCAAACTTAATTTACCTGCACCACAGATTGTTCCAGAAATCATACAGCCTGGTATGTGCTTCTGCAAACTGAAACACTGTAATAAGAGTTATCCTTGAAACTCTAATTTAGACTCTGGGGGGAGTCCTGAAGGGGGATAAATTAAATCTTTGCCTGAAATGGGAGTGGATGTTACTGCTCAGATTGGGCAGACAAGGAATATGGCTGTAGACAAACTCATTCTTAATCTGTGTCTGTATGTCTGATGTTTCAGTTCCTGTTATCTGATTTATATCTCAGAAGAGCTTGTGCCAAAAGTGAAAATATATTAATTATGGGTAAAAGAAAATATGAAGTGTTTTCTTGTAAGCTAGATGAGGAGATCAAAGCTCCCTGAAATGAATGCCAGAATTACGAATTAATGATAGATTTACAGTTTTGAATTCAATAAAACTGCTGAAGGTGCACATGAGGTAAAAATATATTGGAAGCTTATATGAAACACGGTTTTTGTTAACTTCTTGTTTCTGGCATTTTCAGTGAAGACCAGAAAAACCTAATCATCAGTGTTAATGTATTAAATATCTAGTCCTCTGGGGAGGTACAAGCAAGCTTGAATTTACTCTGATTCTTCAGTTCTGAAATCTGGAAAGTATCAGGCTTGAAATAAGCCTGCTGAGTCAGTGCTGCACAAATACCATTTGATCTGTCTGTGGTGTGCAGCAGCTCACTGCCGTTTTTTCCCCTCTTTTTCTCTTTAGGTTTGCCACCCCTTCCCCCCTTGCCGCCTCTGGATCTAATGGGAATAACACCTCTGTCAATGCCACCCAAGTGTGTTCCTGTGCTTCCTTTGGTCACAGAGGCATCTACAGTGCCTACAGATTTGCTTCCCCCTATTACTCAAGCTGGAAGCTTTTCCATCAACCCTGGCACTACTGTAAAGGTAGAACAGACCTCTGCAGTCACCTTGGATAGTGCTACTCCAACTTCCAGGGCAACTATTGTTGACAGATCAAATGAATCCTCCACAGCTAATGAGAAAACAACTGGAATCACAGATACACAAGCTTCTGAATCATAACTCCAGATCACTTTTGGATTGGCTTGGTATTTATTTAGCCATGGGATACATATTTGAAAAGCAAGCTATCATTAATTTCATACTAGTTTGTACTTAATCTTTAGGAGTCCTGTAAATAATATGGAGGTATAATAAAAATAAAAGGGGATTTATAAAGTGTGGGAGGGGAGGAAGAGACCTTGTAACGTTACCAAAAAAAAAAAGTCAAGGTGGTAAATAGAGTTCCACTGCCAAACTCTGAGGTATATGTTTTTAATACAGGCTGACAGCCTTACCCTGCTAGGCTTGTCCTTGCTTATAATTAYCAATTTTTGCTTCTGACAGAAATGAAGCGGGTCTTGCGTGTGACATTTACGTACCATAGTTCTTGTTCTTTGCAAGTATCTTGTTTCTACAGTGGGGATGAGAATGTTTAGTCTGAGTTGTGAATCTTAACGCTGCAAAACTTCCACCTAAAGATATTTCTGTTAAAATTGCTGAGTGACCTGTTAACTGACATGTTGTTATTCAGCTTGTACACAAATCTTTGTCTTTAAGCTCTTGAGAGATGCTCAAGCCATGTTTTGTGACCACTGCTGCGTTSTTTCATACGCCCACTGTAAAACGGCATTTGGAAGGAGATACATGGAATGTTAAATGTAGCACACAATTTGGCACTTCATGACTACTGTAAGACGATTTAATGGATTAAGCATACATATAGCAATAAATTCCTGGAATTTTATTCATTGTGTGATAAAACAGYACCTTTTTTTTWAAAAAAAAAATCTTTMAATCTCATTTAACTGTTTTTAGCTCAGCTGTCTAGCACYGATCTATGAAAGGGCTCCCTTCCAAAAGAATGGGTCCAAGAGGGAATGCCAGACATCTTAATGGCAGGCAGGATCAGCACTTGTTGTTAAATCCATTGCAGCAATGAGTCATTAAATCTGCCTGCATATGATTCATACTTGGCTTTTTTAATTCGTATTTAGGATGAAAATTGTAGATTAACTGTAGATGGCACACTTGTAGAAACTGTTATGTGCACTGTGCTCCTGGTGATAGCCGGTGCTCTTGGTGTCAGGTAMAGTTGATGTGGAAGACTCTTCTGTATCACTTCTAGTCCTTCTGTATTACTGGGATTTCATWTGTATGTGGTTGCTACATGCATATCATCAGCAGGCTCAAGGTGAAGTCTGTCTCAACAGCTGTTTAATTTTGGCAATGTAGTTTGCCTGATCACTGTTTGGAACAATAGTTACATCTGATTTCTGACCATAATAATAATGTCTCAAATAATAAGTTCAACTGGAAGCCTTATTTAATACCTGTTGTCTTTATCACCTAAGTATTTGTATTTCCTCTGCCCCACTACTGTACATCCTTCATCATCTGTTATGACAAAAGCCCATGTCAAAGACAGAYCCCARATACTTTTTCATACTGTGAGCAATTTCTTTTCTCAGCTGTTTGGAGTTGGAAATTAGAGGGATTAGGGCACTTGCTGTTTCTCAGAATGTATTCTTATTTACCTTTGTAAATCCAGTGTCACGTACCTCAAAATTAAACCTTGACATGAGAAGGATGTTCCTCTTTTCTTTCCTGTAACAGAGAAAGTATGTTGGTATCAAGCTTCATTAAGCCTCACAGATATAACAGCCTTTCCTTCAACTTTGTTACACWCTTAAACCCAAAAATAGTAGAAATACATTTGTCACATACCAAATCTAGAGCAATTRCTGATTGTAATCAAATGCTTTGAACTAGTGTCCTTGGGTAGATGTTTTTGTTCTTGCAGTACGGCACAGTGTTCTCTGGCATGGTTGTATGCTTTCCAACAGCAAGCTGCAAACTTTCATAGGTCTTGTGCAGTTGTCTCTAGTAGCAGACAAAATAAGATGCTTAGTCTGAAGTTTTGCACTTCTGTTAGCTATTTTAAGTCCCTTGTTGCTGACTATATATCCAACCTTTTGATAGTTATGAGAGCAGTGGAACTTTTGATAGTTATGAGAGCAGTGGAAGTAAGGCAATGTTAACATCAGCAGTTCTGCTGAAGATAATGCAACTTCAAATTTGGAGATGATTCAGTGGTATAGATTTAAGCAGTAATCGCTCAGCTAAAAAGTCATATACACTGATAAGTTAAACACTTACTACTTAAAATGAAAGCACARACCTTGAAGTAATGCTATTGTACTCTGTCCCTGTTTTTTTAATTTCCTTAACTAGATGTGATGAAATTGTACCTTAATCATTTCTGGCAAGGGTCTCTTAATGATTTCGTTTTCCCCTCAAAAAGAGAAAGGAGGAACAGGAAGTTAAGCTATACCTAGTGGCTGACAGATGAYATAACCCTGTTTCCATGAGTTCATATATTCAGCTGTTAATGAACAGTTATGAACAGGCACATTAGCTTTATTCAAAGCATTGACACATGGAGTACTTCAACAAGTCCTGACAGCAGATGAAGACAGATGTATCATGAACATCCCCAGCGCTGATGTCATTAAGAATGATTTACATRTGTATGACCTACTCTGAAGTGCATACAGTGATTTCCTGCTCCAYCAAAGGCCAGTCTGGGGGCTGTGGTGTTCACTGATACTGTGGATTTGTGAGGGTTGTCTCAACAGCCACRTGAGCATGTGCTGAAGAGGTGCCTTTTCCAGTTTGATGCTCTGCTGCTGCTGCAGGAAACAGCTGCTCAGGCTGCAAGGTCAGGGCAGGAGTGTGRACAAAGCGCTAATGCTGAAAGTTTCATAGCAATGGAGGGGTCATGTGGTGGGGCTGTGTCTGAGTCTCTGACAGCCATCTTTTAAATCCTGCCCACATTAAACCTCGTTGCAATTGGAGCTCCATTCGTTCCCGGGAAATAGCTGTGCAGGGCCACGAGATGGCGTGCACCAGTTTCTTTTGGCTGAATTTACAGGATAAGAGTCAGCAACAAGGGTGGTTGGTTCCTGCCCGCCAGCAGCAACCGTAGTCAAATGGATGCCAGCTGGATGCAGAATGACTGTGCTGGAGAACTATAAAACCAACTGATCTGAAGGCAGAAATGGGCTGAGCTTAAACTATTTCTAACTTTCAGAGTTTTGTTGGCAGTTTGCTGACTTAAGCCAAGCTAACCACGGCACCTGGTTAAAGTTTAGAAGAAAAGATCCTTACAGGCAGGGACTTGTTTGAGGTACTGTAATGCTGAAGGAAGCCTGGATAAGATATCCAACCCCTCCATGATGTAAGTCCTGATTATGGAATTAAGTCAAAGGGGGCAGGATAAGGATCAGGGATGTTTGATCGTGGCGCCACATCTTCCTCAATTATGTATAGGCTTTGTCTGTACTAGTCAAATAAAAGTGTTCATAATCACTCTATGACATGGAGGCCTCACTGGCACCAAGSTCAGATTTTTTGGTTCTTCACCTGGACTTAAGACATCTAGAATCTGTTTCATTTTAGATTTGTATCTAAATGTATCTGTAATGGCAAGCAAGAATTAAGACTGCAGAAGTGTTTCTTCATTTTTAAGTGTCTGTAGTTCATAACTAACTCATGCTTGTAATTCTCCTGTGTACATTCTTCATGGTAGTGTCAAGGCTTAGTATGTTGTATTTGTGCAGTCCAGCACAGTGTCTAGCACTGTGCTGCGCCTCCCAGTAAAAATTTGTGTAGGTCAGAAAACAATAATCTTCAAACTGATTTCTCTGTAATATCTGTGGTAGAAACTGGGATTTTTTTTGAGCTGTGGTATAACAGAACCAACACCTGCCATAGCAAAGTTTTAAAGTTAAACATTTAAAGTGTAAGATAAACCAAAACCAAATCCATGGCCTCAATCAAACAGAAAACTTCATTTAGCTGATGTGAATCTCCAGCACTTCTGCCCTGCAGCCCTGGCAAAAGAGTTAAAGGATAGTAATCTGCCATTTTACAGAATATCTAAGAAATTTGCAGATGGTGGCTAGAGAGCTAATGAGCTGAGCCAGGAACAAATACATCCTTTACCAGAAACCGCCATTCACGTTTATCCCTAGGCCTTGTGAATAAATTATGTTGCCAGGGTGCAGTTAGCAATTCAGAATTTCACTTGGGTGGATGACTGGTATTTCTTGAGAAGAGCTTGCACACATGGTTTCAGCTAAAGTTTAGTAACAAAGTTTTGGGTTTACRCAGGTGAAACTGCATCAAGACTTTAAAGTTCAAAGGCCAGAACCTGGCATGTRGGTACCTGCTCTGGGTGGAAAGGGTGAGGTGGTGTGTACAGTTTTCTTTACTCACAGCAGGAGAGTGCAGTCTCTGTCCATTTGCCACATTCCACTGCCCTTCTTGGATCACATTCTCAGCCTTGGAACTTTTCTCCTGTGCAATCAAAAGTTATGTTTTATCCTTAGTCATGCAAAGCAAAATTTTTACTCTCAACTGTTTCCTTTGTTAGGTTCACAGTTAATCTGCCTTAAAAGCTGCATTCCAGCATTGCTTTAGCTCACCCACAAGAGAGAGCTTCAGCGACCACARAGGTCAGGCTCACCTTGGGCAACTAGGAAAGCCTATTCTGCCAACAAAACAACATTTTAATAACAATCCTCTTGTCTGAGAGCTGTTTGCTCTGCCAGCAACTGGTTGCATATTCACTTACTTTGTTCATGGCCCTTGCAGGTTATCTACCAAACCCCAACAGAAGCTAAGAACACAGGAAACATGCATGAACTCAAGCTGCAAAACCTATAGCCAGCATAGGCTTGCTAGTTACGTAAGAAAAGCCTGCAGTGGATGATTTTAGTATTAGCAAAAGCAATGCAGAGCTATGAGCTTTGTGTTTGAAGAGAGGCTCTGGATGTAATGAGACTCACTGAGGATCAGCTCGTCGGGATCTTCTGATGTGCAGAAAGGACATTATAAGCAGTGCCCAGGTCCTGCTTACTGAAGACATCTTTTCCCAGTTCTCAGAGTTCACCTGCCAGCATCCTCTGCTGGCAGCTTTCAAGAACAAACAGCTCATTTCAGTGATCTTGCTCCTAAATGAATGTGAGACATGAATAGCAAATCTTCAGCAAAACCCACTACATTCTCACTTGACATAATACAAATAGCTTCCAGAGCAGACAGACACTTCAGTAGCTAAGACTCAGCTGTGACCATTTTGCTGCCATCTCACAATTCAAGCTGATTTCTCCTGAAATTCTGTTTAGTGAGTTTTCAAAACAGTCTTTAATAACAAGCTAAAGATATAAACCTCCCATCCAGGCATTTCTAAGCACCTTACCATTGCTTGGGCTTGAAGCTGTGCCCATACYATCAAGCAGTGATGCGACACACAGGAAAGAAAGAATCTGGGAACTGAAGCTAGCTCGGAGGAGCAGTGTGACTTCTTTAAAAAACATCAAAACTTGTAAATAAAATCTGCAATTTTTGCAAATAACAGCTCATTATTATTAAGTGACTTACTAGGCACCAGTTAAGTATTATCAACTGTGATGCTAAAAGCTAGAAATGTTAGTAAAGATACTAAAACCTTTTTCAGAATACTGTTTATGCCCTCAGGTGTTCATATGAAACAGGCAACAGAATATGAACAGAATATGTGTTCATATGAAACATACAACAGAAGTGTGGTCCCAGGCAGTGACACTGCTTTAGTAAGGGTCAGAAATCTCGCAATAGGAGATGTTTTTGTAGATATAAACAGTACTTGGGTAAAATCCTTTAAGAGAGTAACTGTGGTTTCTAAAAAAAAAAGAAAAGAAAGCAACTGAAAGTCTTTGTATTGCCAAATAACATGCTGTGACTAGAAATGACTGAATTTGTGAAACAATTACCTTTGTTTCAAAGTTGCCTTTTTATTTGAAGCAGGTTTCTTAGCCATCTTGCCAGTAACACCTCTTCAGAGAGAAGACAAAAAAGCCCCACAACACAAAACCACACTTGCAGTCTGGGCACTAACTGTTTAATAATGAAAAGGAACTTAGTGTTCCTAACCCAGTTCTTGACTGTTTTCATTCCTAACTACTAAAAGTAACAACTTACATGCTTATGGATTGCATTGTGCTTCTGAATATTTTTAGCCTAAAAGTACATATCATAAAGGAACAGGAAGACTTGAAGGAGTTCAGGGTGAAATATGTAGAACTGTGAGGAACTGAACCAAATATTTTCCAAACACTCYGTGGAAACTGTCATATGTCACTCACACACAAGCATGCTGCTGCATCCTTACCTGCAGATATGCACTGCTGGAGTTCGGTTTAGTCTACTCTTCAGTCTCCCATCAGTTTGCAGAAGTACTTGTGTCAGCCTTTACTGCTGTCTTTGCAATGCCTGCTTGTCAGTCCACAAACTTGTGCCTCTGACAACTCAATACCATCACTCAGTAAGTACATTACTAGCTCCTGCTTTAGAGGACTTGCTGCCTTGATGGTTGCAGCCATAATCAGTACTACTTGAGGTAATATTTAAAGGTAAGGCCTGAAGGCCTCTCAGATTCTTGCTAGTTAATACCTTCCTCCCATTTTTCTCTCTTCACCTTACTCAACCTCTCATGTGTAGATGGAACCTTGTAGTATGATTCAGAAAGGCTAGAAAGGGTTGCCAAAAACACAGGGCGATTTCTTGTAGTGTATAGGAAGAGAGACAATGAAAGAAAGCTGTCTTCTCACTAATCACCACATTTGGCACTCTGCTTGGCTACTCCATGGAGCAGAGGGTCCTACTGTCACCTCTTGTTGAGGATTCCTCATTTTCCATCCTCATGCAGGGAATACCCATGCTTTTTCAACTAGTTCTCCTTGAACCTCCCAAGAAAGGAGTGGAAGCGCCGCCCACATCCAATGCCTCGTATGCTCTGCTCACCACCCATTCAGCCCCAGCCTGTGCTCACCTCAGTGCCCTGCAGTTTCTGTGGCAGATACGGGCTGGCCTGAGAGAGGATCACAAATCAGCCGGTGGGAGACACTGCCCCACGCCTGCCACCTGAGACACCACATCCTGTCAAGTGCAGCAGTGGTTTTCCAGAGGCAGCTTAGCAACAAACAGCTCGCTCCGCCCACAGCGTTTGTGTGCTGGAGGAGAGGTACCACACTGTACTCAAGGGGAACTCTTCAAAAGTATTAAAAGAAAATAGTTGTTATTGGGGTTGAACTTGAACAACCTCTACAACTGATTGTGATGCTGACAGCAGCTCATGAACACAGTGTAGCTCTAAGTGCAAGGTCTTTGCTTCTAGCCTCCTATGCTGTGCAAGCAGAATACTGGCTGTTGAAAGAGAAGATGTACTTCACTAGAGAAGGCTGCTTGATTCCTGTACGTATCTCCTTATAAAGACTCGATGTGCTTTCTGAAAGAAAGACAGTATTTAAATTGATTAGGCAAATAATAAATAATGCCCCCAGCCTCCTGTCTGCAGCAGACTCTGAGTGCTGGGCATATGGCACCTTTCCAGACCACTTGGCAGCCAATGAGGCAGAGCTGGTGATTATTATTTCACCCACCTTTGGCAGGAAATAAAACATCTGTTTAATCCTGACAGCGGGACTCCCCAGCAGTTAAGCTAAGATGGTTGAAAAATAATCTAATTGAAAATTATATTTAAGACAGCAGAAAGCAGTGCTAAAACTTCTCAAATTTTCTAAGACTCCAGTCTTACACTTTGAAAGTCATGGGATTTTTCATGGCTGTAGACAGTCAGGACCTCTGTTTCACAGCTCAGTCAGAAAGAAATGCTGCTTTTGAAAAAGGGCATCTTTTCAGCAGGACTCAGTGGACAAGTGGTTGTGGCTCTGGACTGCTCACAAGTGGAGCAGCTGTACTTGCTGCTGCTCTCASTTCCGGTTACCTGTGGTGCTTCTCATTGCTGTTCAACCACATGGCAGTGTTAAGAGCTGGAACACTTGGACTGTAACTGTGAAAAAGCAGCAAGAGAAGACATGCCATTCYGTGAAATATATAAGCAGATGAAGGTATTTTTGGGCTGTGGAACAACTTTTAAAATGATCTGTTCTCCTGGAAAGTTAAAACCAGTATTACGGACTATGAGTAAGTAGCCAGAGGGCCAAATGAATAGCCTACCTAGGCAATGATGAACARGAAGGACAGCTGCAAATCTCACCTCATGGAACAGCAAAAGGCCCCTAAGGGGTCAAAACAGACAGCCTTCAAAAGAGGTAGGGCTATTTACAGAGGGTGATATAGTAAGAGTGGTCCAATGAAACTGMGCAAAGCGAAATTGAGACCAAATTCTTGCAATAATTCCTATGTCTCAGATAAATCTGCACAGCAGTCTTAGCAGGGAAGTATTCAAATCCCCTTCCAGAAAAGGACAAAACAAAATGTTACATTCAGCAACGCAAAGAATAAGTCTGTACTGAATTACTGGACTATGATGAAAAACATTCGCTGTTTTGTGGGATTCATCTCACTCTATCCTCTTCCTATCCAGCAGAGCTTACCCACAGACACTGTAGTGTTCCTCTTTGAACTGGTTTGGCTCAGTGGRTGGACAGGCATTTGGTTAGGGGTGGTCACTTTGGAGGGAGGAGGGTTTGGAGACTCTTTACAGGCAGTCACTGAGAACAGATTCCAGCTGGCTGCAAGCACTCCCACTAGGATGCGATGCAGCAAAATCTCATGCTTCTGAGCACCCCTGTCAGCTGAAAAGCACAAGCACCCTGGCAGGCATGATAGCATTGAAATGTACAGTCACAGCCATTATTGTGCTACRCCTTAGCCGATTTAGTTGCAGTTTGGAGCAACAGATGTGGATTAAACACTCAAAAAACCCTGTATCCATTTGAGGAATAAGAAAAAGGAGCCTGAGTCCAACCAAAGACAAAACTGGAAAGCAAAAATGGGACTTTGGTAACTTGACTTTGCCTGTTGCACCCACTTCTTTATTGGCTTTGACTAGGTCAAAAAAAGTGTTCAGCCTCTGCAGCTGCAGGTAGCTGTTGTCCTTTGCTCAGCAATATAATCAGCTATTGACACAGAGCTGTGACAGAAGCTGCTGCTCTGGTTATGGGCTCAGAGCTACTTAAATTGTGCAAGATCATTACCATCTTCCACTTAGACCTTCCACTTAGACCTGCTGCCTACCACAAAGTGTCTCCAAAAGTTCCTGTGCAAGCTCCACATTCCTGGATGAGTTGGAACATAAAGGAAAAGGAATTCAAACTTCAGTTAGTAGTGGTGGATTATATACCTACAACTTTTAAAAGTATTAAAAGTTGTATCTTACTGTATTTTGTTTCCCTCACTGGAAAGGGTGAATTTTTCTTCTCCATTATGGTCTTGGTAAAACTCTGTACACTTTTTCAAGGGTACACAAGTGCCTTGCTTGACTGTTGGCTACATGGTCACAGGTGTCTTTGCTGTCAGTTATCGATGCTATCAARAAAGCAGCATCCCTTAAAAGGCTTCCAACTGAATTTTAGCTCCAGGCCACATACTTTCTCTCTGCAGGGTAGCTTTTACCATCTAATCTCACTGGAACAAGAAGCCTTTAAAACTAGGAAAAAATGAATGAGGAAATCAGTGATACCAATTATACACCAAATGAAGGTAAGTCACTCTGTCTCATTAGCACTGTTTAATTATGCTTGGATTTAAATTCTAAATATAGTTCATACAAATTCACAAGGGCRAGTGTTTGCTTCCCCTGTTGTAGTCCTCTTCACATCTAATACTTCTCTCTCCTATGAGATCAACAGTTTTAAGGACCCATCTGCCTGAGTCATAAATAGAAAAGATGCTGACACTTCACCCCTTCTGAGTGAAAAATGTTGGTTAAGCAATGGCTTATGTTCAATATTTGCACTGCTGTGAGAGCCAAGAGGTCTCAGATGACTTCTCAGCTTCCTGCACTGGGTCTGTGTGTACACATAGAGTCCCTGTTATGGGTTTCTGTATTCTTAAAAAATTCTTAACAGTTTTCAATATGCTTGTTGTCATGACTCATCATGACCGGCTGAACAGATACTGGACCAAGTGGCAGGTATATTTATACTTRTATTGTACAGTTGCCATAACTCTGGCAACCAGCCCACTGTTTAGACTAAAAAGGTGTTGGCTAACAAACCCCTGAATTCTTAAACTACGCTTCCTCAAGGGCGTTGGCTAACAAGCCCTTCGTTTTGTACACTTCAGTACGCTCTCAACTCCCACAGCAAGCTTATCAAAGGTGCTGGCTTACAAGCCACAACACARCTTCAGTAGCTCCTCACTTGCACAATAAACCCCAGTACAGAGTAGAACATGATAGCTGTGCTTTGCCAGACAAAGCAATCAAAATTAACAAAGAATATCATCAGTCCTTAGAATCCTGCATTGGTCCTGCCAYGTGGATGGTCCAGAGTGAAAGAGGAGAAGAGAGGAAAAAGAGAGAGGGGCCCCAATCCTTTTACAGCTGGTGCACAGCTCTTASATAAACTAGATTTTCTGCACCGCTTTGTTTGCAAATGCAGAGTCAGCCCTTCTCCAGGAAGGGAGGTGGGGGACAGGACACCGAGCAAGAGTCTCAGGGCACAGCAGGGAGTTGGCTCAGAACAGTGCTGTCCTATCCCTGCAGGAATCTCTGCTCTGATCACCATTCCTGTACCAATACTCAGAATGTTTGAGACAGA